CCAGGGGCAGTTGTCGTTGCGAGATATTGCTTGAAAAAAACAGACCTGGCTGATGGATCTCTGAAGTTCCTAAAGAGTCTCGTAGATGTCTGCAGTAACTAATTTCCGCAACATCTTCCTTGTTGCTACACTATAATCGAAACGTGGGTCGAGGAAATAATAATAGAGGAGAATAAGCTCGGACGGTCACTTCAACCCCCACACGACGACCCCACTGTGCCCTGTAACTTCTCAAATAAGTTGTCGATAAGTGAAATTAGGTGTGGTAATGCAAATTACAAGCACACAGTCATTGCGAAGAATCCAAGGCGTTAGCTTCAGTATGTAAATAATAGATTAAGATATATCTAACACATCAAATGCTATATGGTTTAAAAGTTGTTCGACCCTTTAAATAGCCCTGGACAACTTAACAGAAGCGGTTAATAGTTTTTACTTTATATATATATATATATATATATATATATATATATATATATATATATATATACGATTAAGGCTTGAATAATTTGAGTTCAAATATTAATAACAATTAAATGAAGTGCGACGCTTCGGTGAATAGTATTGATTATTATTACTATTATCGAAGTTTTACAAGCGGTGAAATTTATCTGGATTGCTTCGCAGTAGCGTCAGCGAACGCTGAAGACATGTAATAGAAAACAATAATGACCAGTAGGGTGATTACTCTTACCTATGAAATAAATATGTTGCTAGATCATACATGATTTATAAAATGTACGTCTTCAACCCGGGTGCCAAGCATAGAACATAGAAAATATCATGGCTTCAGTAAATCAAACGCTCATCTTGCGGCAGAAAATGCCGTCAGCTACAAAGACAAAACAAATAATAACTCATTTAAAAATTGTTGTTTGGCTGAGAGATCATTCATGATGACAGTAGCAAACGCTTGCAAACCAAAAATGTGTCTTCCGGACTTAGATGGGCAAAGCGATTTCGACAACTTGTCACATGGAAAGAACCTAAAGCAGCCCTTTTTCTTCCGTTACTTTGAAAACCGAAATCAAGCCGCTGAGTCACAAGACTATAGAAAGCTATCAAGCCAGTTGCGCCATTTGTATCGTGAAGGATCGGTGTTATTTATTAACCCACGAGCATATTTTATATTGCTATGATCCTGTGGCCTCTTTGTCAATGTGACACGCAAGTTATAGAGTGGCTGGCTCAAGAAAGACTCGGACTGAACCGGAAATTAGAAAGCAACTTCAGCACCTTCGAGTCAGATACTTTGCGCTGTTTATCCTTTTACAAATACTCATTACACTTCGTGATCAATTAATTATTATCGGAACTGATAGATGGCCAGTACGTACTATGTATTATGTGTTTATGTAGATGTTTCCATTGGTTTTCGGCGTCGATAGCGTAGCAGACACAATGAGAAAATGAAAGTTGATAAATAGTGCGATAGAAAGTAAAGCGGTAACCTAACACATTTCAAAATAAAACAAATTAAATAGAATCTAAATAGAAACAGTAACAGCGCATGTGAAAAGGTAACATCGACGGAAGCTCCGAGCCATTGCGGCAACAACGATAGCGTTTGCCTCTTTTGCCCTGATCGACGACACTGGTGATAGCCGCAGCCGCAGCCGCAGCAGCCGCAGTAAAAACGCAAAACAACAACAACAACAATATAGCAGCAGCAATTCGGCCCCAAGAGACAAACGCGCAGCATAAATAATGTTATGTCCCCTTAGCGGCTTTCGACAGGGTTAGGGCGGGGTCTGCTAACCGGCGGAGAGGAGGTAGGTGGCGGAGATGTGGTGCGTAGAGTCACAATGACCCAAAACATTGTCCGCGTATCCTTTGCGCCCAGACTTGTATAAAATAGATCTGGTCAACATCAGATATTGATAAAACCTGTTGCCGGTGCAGATGTGCTTCGTTCAAGTTCTGTAAGAGTTTCTGCTCGGTATATGCTGGGCCTGTAGAACATAATAAACATTGTTTCCTTCTGTCTTTATTGATGGCTATCATTTTGATTTGGAATCGAAAGAAACCTTTATGATTCTATTTTTATGGCAGGTTCATTACTAGGCTTACTATTGACCCGGAAGCTTGACAATGAACAGCTGTAAACAGCTCCAAGTGTTTCCTGGAAGCTTCCGATAGAAAGTTCTAAGTTTGAAACTCTCGAGCTTGATCGGTTTTAAATCCGTTCTGACATTTAGAAAAATTATTATTTACTTTGCAAGATGTTTGCTGAGTCAACGTTTTATGTTCTGCTTTGGACGTCCGGAAAAAAATATGGAGTGTTTTCTCGGTGAAGTTACAAGTCAACTTCCTATTCACCCACTGTGCGCGACCTTCTCCGAGCAATGCGCCGGTCAGCTAAAATCGGGCGCGGAACTTGTTGTCGTTATGCAGATCTATATTAGTTCTCGAAGGAACAGCAGTCATAAGTATGGGCGGCCTTTGGTCAGCAATATGACGACAGATTGAGAAAGGATGTAATAAAGTAAGGCAATGTTAAAAAGGTTCCCAAAAAATCGATACTATCTATCAAGCAAGATTAAATAACGTAGCTTTGGGAAGGTTATTGAAGCAACTGCCCACTCCGTTTTAACTTTTCAGGATATCGTGAACGTACATACTATTCAGAGGACCCAAAAGAGCCTTGTAAAAGAGAAGCACTAAATCACAACATATCAGTAACTTATAATAAAGGCGCCGCAGAGGTTTCGTAGCAAAGTTCGGGGCCATCTCTTTCTGCTCGTCTGATTTACTGACCGTTGTGTGCTTTATTCGACAGCAATTCAATAGAGGGAACAATTTGAAAAAAATCAAAGCACTGACGTAAATGCACAATGTTTGTAACAGAACGGGAGTCCGGATTGTGTCAGCTCTGATAAAAATGCACTCAAATCGTTTAATGTTATACTTTACGCTTTATAGATGTTAATAGGAAGCAATCTGCAGTTCCAGAACGATTCGACGTAGCACAAAGAGAAACTTGCTCTCTGAGATAACTTATCTAGCTATAGTTTCTCGGGTGGGGCTTTAGCCTTGGCGACAAGCTGTCAGTTACATTGTGGCTGAATGCTTACAGCGTCAACTTTGTACGTTTGTCACCTATTTGTCTTAAGAACCACCACGAGAGTACGGACAGCTGAGTATACATTGAGCTGGATCAAATCCGCTAAAGTAGACTGACAATGACAACATAAAAAAGTTGCCCCATCGATGAAATTGACGAATGGGCATACTTTCTCTCATATACATATTCATCTATAAATTGAACTCCATGTAACACTATTGGGTATGAATTTAACTATGGTATTTTTTATTTCCAAGCCAGCATATTTTCACAACTAGTCACAACTTCTGTCGGTCCGTTAGAATTTTCGAGGGCATGCATATATTAAATACTGATTCAGATACACGTGACTCAAACAGAGCAGCTCGAACGGAACTTTAGCCTGAATCCTTCACTTTAATATGACGAAAGGTCTTTAATCGTCGTAAATGTAAGTTTGTCAGGGCAACGCGTTGCTGAGTTCACTCAACCGCTATCTAACATGACTCTTTCGTTACTTTATCTTTATTAGGTATACAGAAACAAATACACTATAATATAATGAAAATTATAGAAATTACCTTGCGTTACGTTGCCTAAACCTTTCCGTATTGTCAAGTTTGTTCGACCACGTTTAAAAAGATTTAGAGGTTCTTAATTCTACAATATTATAACCGTACATATTCTCTATTGGAATTTACTGTCTTTCTTAGAGAAACGTATGAGTGTGTTGAATGTATCCTACTGACCCCGTTAAGCATGATCGCTTCTACATCAATAGCAACATCACTACCTAAGTTACCACCACTATTAGTAGCACAAAGGAACCTATCCATCTCCACTTTTGGCATCGGTTATATAAGCTTTGTTGCTGCCGCTGCTGATACAAATATATCTATCGACTCGCTTTCCTATCAGCTTGTGTATCCTTACTTTTCTCACATTGCCCAGTTTCGTCTTGAGTTATCGGTCGGTACTACTGGTTTCCGCACATCTGGATTTTGTGTGCTGCCTACCGATCAGCGAGCAACTCCTGTTGTAGAGCAGCAGTTCGGAGGCTATTTTGAGCGGTTTCTTTCCGGAAAAGTTTTTTTTCTCTGAAGATGGCCCTGAAGCGTCTCAGGGGTCTAATTTGGTAATGGCGATCACCGCAGTAAAAGTGGATCCTTGAGTTCTTCCTTGTCTTCAGCTCTCACGACATTGAGCACTGCTGCCACTTGAAAACTATCAAGTAGAAGCAGGTTTAGGAATCAGCAATTAAACCCTCTCATGAATCGGCTACAATTCGATATAACTTCGCGATATAACTATTTGTGACCATTTGAAGTGTAATGCTTTAGCTAGGGTGAAGCTAGCAGCTATCAGATGCATTAAAGCGAACCTTTCACTTAATCAGATAATAAGTGTACTTGACTGACTCCCAATCTATGATACTCGAGCGGCGATATTGTGCTATTTGAAAAAAAAATGAAATGGATTTGCTGTATTCAGCCTTAAAGCCAGCACTTTGGGAGCACTCGACTCATGATAACTAGGTAGTAACGTGTTTGCCTATTAAACTTCAGATCACATGATTCGAAACTGGGCGAAAATACACCTTGTCCCGCGGTAGGAGCTAGTCATCTTAAGTAAGGCTCAACGGTTCAAGTACCGAGCAAAACCTGGAACCTCTGTAGAGACACTCTGGATGCCTAATTTCTAAGCCACGTAATGCCAAAATGGTAAATCTCTGTGATAGGGATGGATGGGTTACTAATTTCCAGGCAACTGAATTAGCGAAAACGAGCTCAGCAGGTGCTGAGAAACACTCTGTATAGCCTAAGCTGAATATAGTTAATAGACCATCTGTAAAAAGCAAACAAAGTTTCTTTGTCCGTACGCATTACCTAAGCGAAAAGAGCAGAAAAATGTACGTAAACTGAAACTTTTTAGTTTATTTCACCTCTTTGTTGTTTTTTTACGACATAATCATATATCTATATCTTTCTTTAGCATTCACCTTTGCGTTGTATTCCTATTCCAGGCATGTTCTTCACGTTCCCATGTCCCATCCGAGCATACTTACTTATACATCCAACCCCCAAGCGATAAACCTGCACGTTCGCCGTGTCACAATGAATGATCAGGTTATACAGGTGTCGCTTATAAAATAAATGCACCCCACTTTTCTATTATTGTATAAGAACTTTCATTTTTTATTATCATGGAACCGAGAAGGTTTGCTGGCGTATCACTGCGGCTGCCTCTCATTTTTTTTTTCGTATTTCCATTGTTGCATCAATATATACATATACAGGAAGCGTCACCGCCATACAGGCACGTACGCTTTACGTCATGTATTTTCTCCTGCCGCGCCCCAGACTCACAAAGTTTCTCGCTTTCTAGGAACTGCTCTCGAGACCGAACCGCTGAAGCTTCGCGCGTCGTCCTTCCGTACGCACACGCACAAACGCCTATAGTCACTTACATATGTATATACGCTATATAAATAAGATTTTGTGACATTAGTGAGACTGAAAGTTCGTTCGCCTCCTGCTTGCTCATGCTGGTATTGTGCACTACATAAAAGCTATATATATATATATTAACCGGGTCCACTAGAATATAATCCAAGAAAAAAAAAAGTAGTTTTTACATATGATCTTGCGTCTTAGCATTCATTCTGTTCTATTATTACAGCTGAGTTTAATACATTCAATAATAACGAGATCTCAACATATCAATATGTTGATTTACTAGCACTTTTTACTCAATTTATATATATATATATATATATATATAGTTGCTGGAAACCCTGTGTATTTTTACAGAATCGTTTCAACTCTTCGCTGCGTTTCAAGATAAAAGAGCTCATATCAGTACAGCTTGAACCGAAGCGACCGGTCCACTAACGACATTACAATCGATGATAGTAATAATAATCCATATAGATTGCTACTGGGTAGTTTTTTTTTGCATACAATTCTACCATTAGACTTTGCGGACGACCACGTTGAAGTGTAGGTTTAGATCAGTGGAGAAGATAAATAAATAATAACAGTAACGTGTTACGTGTGATGATGGCGCGTAAAGACAGGACTTTTGTTTACATGACCAATTACCTTCGACTGGCTAGCTCGTAGTCAGTCGTTTATTTCTTAAGTAGTTTTTCTATCGAAAACAAAAAACAATGCATGTGATGCGCCAATGATGTATGCGTTGATTTATATGTGTGTGAATGCGTATATGTGTTTACTGATCGGATAACCCAGCGGCCTGGCGAAAAGGTTATATTAGAAATAGGGAAAAGAAGAAGAGGCAGAAAAAAACAGGGCAGCCGCCAATCTGGGCCGAATTCAGCATCGAGGAAAAAGAACAGAACAGAACAGAACAGCGTTTCAGTCCATACTCCCGCGGACGGAACGTGTCTAAATGCAAATATTGACGGACAGCTTCAATAAATTGCTCTTCTTGCTGGTAGCAAATTTAATATAAATTCATTCTTCACGAGAAAATACCTATGGGGGATTTGAGTCTTTAGCGTTAGATGGCTGCAATTGCCAAAGGCGTCGAATTTTGTATGGGTTTTCTGTCTTTTGCTCTTTTCGCTGCACTTGGGATAAGATCCCGGCACTTGTGTCGGCGATGGGACAAATTTTCAATCTCAATTCTTCTATTTCGTTCGCCATCCGCAGTAACGAAGAGGCGATAGCTGTACTTTTCCTCTATCGCCATCGTGATTGACGCGCGTCCTAACGATATATGACACATACAAGGTAAGAACTAGACGACGACGACAATTCACAAAAAGAAAGAATCAAGCGGCCGTAAATGAGAAGCGAAGAGAACCTACGAAGAGATCTACGAGAAATGAGAATTGGCGATGATTGAGACGATTCGCGCTCAGCGAACGCACCGTGCGTTCAACAGCTTTTGCTTAGATGACAGCGTCATTTCATGGTCCTCAGCGGATCTGCTCCGATTTGTTGGTTCGTTCCTTTCGTTACTCTGTTTTTACTTAACCACTCAGACTGACAATACTCTCTTCTTCCTTTTCCACAAGAGCCTACCCCCTTAGAAACATAATACAGGCAATGTCTCACTTCAACGCATCATTTTGACGCTTAGCAGAAGCGGACAGAGCTCCTGTGTAGTCCGCTTCAGTAGCATGTATATAGAAATAATACTCAAATACGATCCTGTGTTCTGCTTCTCAAAAGAACACAATTGTGTTGAAGCAGTTGTAGTTCTTACGGGTGCACGATTCAGAAAATACACGATTCAAGTAAAGACTTTATGATGTGCCCAGAAGTGATCAATACACGATTGATGATGACCATAATCAGCGCGATTTGGAGACGGCAGTACCCCTAACAATGACGAGAAGTTAAAACTAAATTAATGTTTACAGAAGCCATTTGATAATAACAGTCATAGCTATTATAAGCTGAGTTCTAAGCCATTGAATCGAACGCGGTCCTGCACTAGGTAGCACCGTACCACTGGAGTTCGCCAAAGGGAGCGTCAGTAATAGGTTTCTTGGACCCATTATGTTGTCGTAATTTCAAATAGCGATTGTGTTGCTATTACGCTCTGGACGCCAGATGAAGCCGGTCCTTTTTTAGAGGCGCATCAACAGTCGGCGGTAGGACTGCGCGTGTCTGTCTGTTTCATATGTAAAACAAGGGACTGCGTGGTTTCAAACGAATTGGTTAGTCTTCGGAGGACCACAGTGAAGATAGCATGCACACATAACTAATGATAACTCGGAATATGTCTTAGATTATAATTCATCTTAACATACTTTCTTACTGAGATATTGATTCAGTGTTTACAGGGTGTTTTAACTTATATAACTTTCTGAGACACAAGCGCATACAGCTTTCACGAAATACAATGTTCTTTATCTAAAGCTATTTTCAACCAGCTTTAGAACCGCTAAGAACGTATTTAGTCATTACTTAGTATATGCAGATCGGAGCAATTTCCCAGATTCTAAATGCTGTTTGTTGTACATTATATTATAGAAAATTTAACTTATTTTTGCCGTTTATAATAGTCGTATCAACGCAGTGCCGACACCCGCGGTAAGCTTGGCTTCTATTCTATTTCACCCATACTGCTTTAGGCTATCCTTGAAACTTATTCTCCTGTTTGCTTATCATATATCCTCCATCTTCCATCCTTAGGTACCAATTGTTGTGGTCTTTTTATTAAATATATTTACATAGTATTTAGATCATGGCTAATATCTTCGACGGTCAACGTCATCGAAGTCCTCGTCATCACCGCAACGTGTTCCACCTTAACAGAACGTGTTGAAAATCCGACGAATTTAAGCAGTGGGTCAATGACGCCCGGCCATCTCTCTTCGAACTATTGAAGAAATCAGCAGCTGCCTGGAAACATAGATGGAACACGCCTCCGGAACGTGCCTATGCATCAGCGTGCTAGTTTCGCACACTTTGCAGCGGTTGTTGCTGTTTCGGACAAAATCTTTTCACAGTCTAGGCTTTTTTTTTGAATAATTTTGATTCATAATGGCGATTTGCTGGCATCGTCAAAAGTCAAATTCCGGTTTCGCGCTTGATAAGTGTCTGCGTACCTCCCCCAACGCCTCCTCGAGGAGAAGGGGGTGTCGTCGTCTCCCGTTCGGTATCGTCGCCGCCATTAGCGCCACCAGCGTGCTGAGCTATACCGGCCGACTGCTGCTGTTGACCAGCTGCTGCGACGGCAGCAACGGCGGCGGCCGCCGCCGCCTGCGCCGCCTGTTGCTGTAAAAGGTGATGATGTTGCTGTTGCAACAGCTGGAGATTAAGCTGTTGCAGACTAAGACCTTGCGGACTGGCGCTAGCAACAGCCAATAGCTGCGGTGTCAAACCTTGTTGCTGTAGAGCTTGTAGATTGCCTGGATGCTGTGGTGACATCTGCTGAGACATTTGCTGCGCTTGATGTAGCTGCTGAAGCTGCGCTTGCAGCTGCGCGTGATGCTGTGCGACGAGAAGGTGGTGCTGTTGTTGATGCTGCTGCTGATCGGCTAAGGCGCCGGACAGTGAAGGGCTGTTGGCACGAGCATCGCAGTCCTCGTCATCGCTCTCTTCGAGGTCGATATCGGGCGACATTGACCCAGGCGGCGGTGGTGAGCTACTGTTGTTGTTGTTGTTGTTGTTGTTATTGTTGTTGTTGTTGTTATTACTACTGCCGTTATTTCCACCAGAACCAGCAGTGCCACCTTCGCCCTCTTCTTGCTTTTGACGTTTATGCTTCGTACGCCGATTCTGGAACCAGACCTTTACCTGGAAGGTACAGGACGAAGTCATAGGTATTTTTTAATATGATTCAGTGATAATTCAGTGATTACCCATAATGTCATTTTCGGTTCCAAATGTTAATGATTCGTGTGATACAAATTACTGTGCATCTAAAATGGAGGATGGCCCTGTGGGGCTAATTGAAGCAATCATGTTACGATATAACCTAGATACGCTCATCAATCCCTACGTAATAGACAATGGCATTGACGATAATCAAATAATAAATAGCTACAATAGCAAATAATATGATGGTCGTAGCCGGCGAAGCATATTCGCAGGATCTCTTAGACCGCCCGCTGAGATCGCCAACCAACCAATCAAAGGTAATGCTCCTATCGCCGACACTACGATCACGGCCACTATCAGCGAGGGTGCTAGTGCCGCCGCCGCTCACGTTATATCTTCTATGGGCAGCACTATGCATCTCTTAAGCACCAATATTCCATTTGTCAGTTCGCGCAACGACGTCAACAACTTGAGAGCACAATTCAACGACGACGGTAGCAGCACAAACGATGGCGGTATCTAACGTTAAAACACAGAAAGCGTCAGAAGCGGGGAGATGGAGACATGAGGGAGATGTCTCGCGTCAGAGTTGGTGTGAATCTGCTGTACTGTTGGCTGGATGATGACACGGGGCAAGCGGGGAGCAGCCAGCAATACTATGTCGAATTGTGCGATTGAACGTGCGCAAACAATGACGCTATCCTCATTCGAGTTCTCAAACGACAACGATTGTTTGATTTGACGGGATCTGACACCATCTGGTGCTGTTGTTTGTTGTTGAAGAATCTACTCCACTGTTAGGCCTCGTATCGCTATGTTGTCGCGCTTTCTGCGCGCATTGGTCGTAGTTGCTAGAGTCGCTGCAGGTCACTGTATTATTCCCGTCATCATCATTTTGTCGAAATGTTAACAAATGCTCCTACTACAGCATAGGTCGTCCATGTATCAATCTATCTATCTACCTAGAATTAAATAGACGCTGTTATTTTTCTTTTAGTATATCTGTATGTATGCGTAACCTACGGTTGACTGCTGCTGCTCCTGCTCCTACTCGTGCTTTCCGTCTCCGTTTAAGACGACGATTGTGATGATAATGAAACAATTGCTTCGTAACCAGTAGGTCTCTGCCTATTTGAACAATGGCTGATACTGGCCGTCGCCATCAGCGGCCGAACGCGCACAAGGCCGCCAGGTTCAGTGTCATCCGAATGGTCGCTGGTGCCATGTGGCCCGGATCAGGACGTCAATTTGTTAGGATGATTTTGTCCCAATTTAGTGGAAGTGATCGTATAGGCAATTCAAGCAAATCCTATATCAATGTTCGACCTGCTTCTATGATTAGGTCTGTCTATGAACAGGCAGACGTATGGACATTTTGACTTTGATTACTGTTATCCGTTCGCTGCTGCTCCCTTTTTGTCGAGAGACAAAATATTTGTTTTTTAAAAAATTTGATGAGACCAAAAGGTTCAGCTGAGAAATGCGAAGCAGCAGTTATAACATGTGTGAGGATGAAGAGTAAAAAGGCCCTAATCCGAAATTTATAGGTTCGATTTGTTTTGTTTTATCGCCATTGGCTATCTGCTTGATCTGCTGCTGCTGCTGCTGCTGCTGCGCGCACACGGTAGAAGCAGAAGAGACACCACACATGGCCAACTGCTTCATTCCTTTGTATTGATTGCCTTCCTGTCTGATCTGTAGGAGAAGCGCCGTGCATCGTCGCGCACCGTGTAGCTATGGCTCAACAAGAATAACAGCGCACGAGGCGCGAGACAAACAGACGAGGCTGTATATAGGACGCAAAAATGAAGTGCTGCTGTTGTTGCGGTGCATCGCGAGCCGAAGGAAGCCCAGAGGACGTCAAGCCGCCACAGAACACACGACCAACGGCAGTAGTCGCACCACGAGCGGTACCAATCCTTCAGTACGGAAGTGAGTGAGCAAATAAACAAGCAGTATCCTATACGCGTGTTATTTGCGACGAAATTACTCTCGGGTCCGTTTGTGTGAGTGGATCTGGTGCAATCTGTGGCGTCTGGTGAACGCGCCCTTCAATAAGGACACGCGGCCTACCGAGCGCTTGAGCCTCCGATCACGAAGTCAAACACTTGCTGAAGAAGCTGAAGCGATCGAAAAGTTTTGATCAGTGATACACACGCGTGCAGCAAAAAAGCCAACGAAGTAACGAACGTCGGGTCAACGGCAACAAGTGTTCGCTGCTATCACAATGGTCATTCGTCTCGAGGCCGACATTTGTATTTGTCGCACACACAGGCACACACGCATAATTAATATCGACAAAGAAAGGTGGCTACGGCAAATAGAAATGCGCAATAAACTTTCTCACATTACGGTTTCCCTGCAAACCTCAAAATGGATAAACTAATATATCTATCTATATATTCTAAGAAACTAAACTCCTTCAATTCCATAACTACACTTTCGCAGCTTGCCAAGGTACCCTGGCAAACATTATCTTTGATTGATGTTGCCCAATGCAGTGCATCTGTAAGGTAACAGTACTAGTTAGCGCTGACGACCCACGACTTCCTGTTGATGTTGACGTTGACGTTGACGACAAGTGGGAAAAAATTCAAATAGAACCTTAACGAATTAGTCATCCGTTCGCCACTGGCGTTTGATACGACACTAAATATCTCTAATGTAATAGACGGCTGTCAGCCGTTATTAGTCTACTTAGTAAGGTTTCCGTCGCGTCGGTGTTGGTAAAAGCACAACATCATTTTGCTCCGGATAGAATCACTGAGAACCCATCGCCGTCCTTTACTGTTTGTTGACGGCGTCTTTCTAATACTAGACGCCAAGTACGCTGCGTCCGTCGGCGGTAGCTGAACGGTGACTTCAGACGACGCACTCTTTCCTCTATATACCTCATCTAGAACGAGTAACGTTGATGTTTGATGACACCGGAATTAAATGCTATAAGGACCCGGACACACGAAGAGCACCGTCAACGTGTGCTACACCATCAGAGGTAGCCGACGTTAGTGATCAACTTCATTTTTACTTTACATGTAGATGTTCGCGAACGCTTTCAATCGAATTGAAGATTTTGTTCGACTCAGCTGACAATAAACTTGGGTCGTAATACCCTTGTCGACTTGCAACAGGGTAATCCATGTAACTAATAGTTAAATATAAAGAGCTTAAGTGAAGAAACCATTTGTAACTTAATATGTAAATACAGCCACTTGCAGCTCTTGGTGCAACGTCAAATATCTCAGATTGAAACAGAATTTTCCCTCCGCGTCCGATAAAAACCTGTTGCAACAGCAGATTGACGGGGAGCTCTCAATGAATGATCCCCGCTCTCGCCGGTGTATAATATCAGGCGTTCGTAAATACGCGGTTTTGATCTAAATTACTTTAGCGCCTTGATAGAGCTTTACTGTTTGAAAGACGTGCGCGCCAGCTGATTTCAGTGTTACAAAACCACCGAACGTACCCCCGTTCGCTACAACTTGTCATTGCCGCTGCTGTTGACACTTCAAAACGAAAGCCCCATGTTATTGCCCTTCAGCGACTTCATTTTTATTCGATTCGATTCGATTGCTGCCGCCTACAGCAATAAGCGATTCATTCATCTTTTTGAATTAGCGCGCGCAACCATTTTCTGAAGCTGCTCAAGTGAGCGGTTATCACAAAACGCCTGGCTGCGAAGCATTTGCTTCATAGAGGTGTTAGGTTTGCTTGTCGCTTTTATTATTCCTCGAACGAGAGCTATATAATACAAATGAAAAATTACAACGGGACCCAAATATATGTTTAAGGTGGTATGTCAAAACTGAGAATTTCTCTAATGCGTTGTATCAAACAAAAGTAGATATTTTAAGAAAGCTCTTCGCATGCATTATAAGTGTCATTCCTGACGATCATCATGATGATAACGACGAGTTGTCAGTAGCGAGAGAGCACCAGAAGCAGCAGCGAGAAGATAACAGGTCCGGCGGCGGCGGCGGCAGCAGCAAAGTGACGTACTATATATATAAATCGATAGATCGGAGGAGGAGATAAGGAGAGGGAATATAAGGGTGGCTAAAGTCGATTTGTCGAAGTAAGGTCATGATAAACAGTACGCATTCGATACATAAAACCGGACAAGGAAAGGCCCCGGAGATGGACATCACTCGCATGTGGCCTATCGTGACAACTATACCGCTATCGTAGTTGTCGTGGACGCCCGAAGAGCAGATACAGGACTTCGATGTCCCACTAGTGGAAGTGATGGTTGCAATAGCACTAGCAGTAATCGTACGTTGCTGATGCGTAAGTGTTCAGTAATGCGTTGAAGCGTTTAACGAAAACCAGCAGTGCGGCGTTTCAAAATCAAAAACAAAATCAGCGAATTAGGGACTGATGCCGGATGGCAAAGACCGGTTCGATGATCGCGGCCGTCCTTCGAGTGTTCGTGGCCAGGAGCGTGGCACACGTGGTAGAGGTTATAGTAGCGGTAGTAGTAGTAGTAGTAGTATAAACAGTAGTTGTGGGGACGGTAAGTGGTAACTTTACGATTTTAAAAGGCGGTGGGAGGTGTGACTAGACGAAGAGACAGGATGGACCCACCCAGTTCTCCGTATTTGGTGGCAATAGCAGCATTATACAGCCTGCTATGGTCGACAAGCGCAGTAGACAGCTATAGATGATACAGATATTAATTCTGTTCGTTTTAGTTCTTCTCGTGCACGCAGTCTGATCGGCGCACGAAGGTTTTACAGCTATAGCAAGACGAGCTCCGATAGTCGCACCGATCGTCTGTGACATCGACTGCGGGAGCTCTGGGCCACTAACCTGTAACAACAACAATTGCTACCGCTTCTTCTATGTGATGATACAATTATGTGATCCTGTTAACGCCACTGCCGCCGAGAGAAGGAGGCATGCATACATACACATACAGGTACGCCAGGAACGAACGCGATACGCAGGCAAAACCAGCAACGTAACTTGTTCGCGTA